CGAGTTGTCTGATCCTGGATCACAAAAAATGGGATTTCAAAATCTGATCGGATCTGATTGAGATTAAAGGTCTTTTAATCTCAATCAGATCCGATCAGATTTACCAAAAATGCATGTTTCAGTATCTGGTGTGAGGGGTAGGGTTAGGGTTAGGGTAATGTTGTGAATCGAGTGGCCTGTGTTCATCGTCCATAACATACGCCTGCCCATACCATAACCCCACCACCACCACGGGCCACTCGATTCACAACATTACCCTAACCTTAACCCTACCCCTCACACCAGATACTGACTGGTTTTCGGACACCCCCAGACCCCCCCAATAAAGCAAAAATGCACGTTTCAGAGTGGCCTTTTATTGTGGCCAGCCTAAGGCACACCTGTGCAATAATCATGCTGTCTAATCAGCATCTTGACATGCCACACCTGTGAGGTGGGATGGATTATCTCGGCAAAGGAGAAGTGCTCACTATCACAGATTTTTTCAGATTTGTGAACAATATGAGATAAATGGTTATTTTGTGTATATAGAAAATGTTTTAGATCTTTGAGTTCATCTCATGAAAAATGGGAGCAAAAACAAAAGTGTTGCATTTATATTTTTGTTCAGTTTGATGATCTGGTCAGGCCACAACTGCAGTGCAGAACCTTGCAGAGTCATGCTCTGACTGTAGAGGAACAGGTCCTCATTGCCCTGCGCTTTTCCGCATGTGGAACATTCTATGACAGTGCCTACCCACTCCTACCATGGGTGATAACACCTTTTCCCACGGCCAACACTCCCTCACAGATGCGCTACAACAATGCCCATGGAAGAACAAGGTGTGCCATTGAGCGCTTGAATGGAGTACTGAAGAGGCGTTTTGCATGCCTCAACTATCTGAGAGTGGAACCCCAAGGAGCATGCCAAATAACACTGGCTTGTATTGTGCTACACAATATCGCTGTCCATCGCAGAGTCCCCCTCTCTTACATCGATGATCCCCCAGAGCCCCTCGCACCTGCTGATGATCTAGGCCCACCTATGGATTTCCCTCTAAATGAGAGACTGAGTGGTGGTGCAAGGCGAGATGCTATTGTCCGCAATTACTTTTGAAAGGTGATGACAGATGATGGACTTTATTTGTTGAAGATATTTTTTCTTTAATCTAAATTACATTTGTGATTGACAATCTTTGCTGTGATACTTTTATGAGCATAAACATTTATGTCATCAACATTTGGTTGAAAACAAAATAGGCCAAAACAAACGTGAGCAAAAATGGAAAAAATAAAATGTATTTCCCATGAAGGCTAAAAATGGTGTATTATTTCAGTTAACAAACGTTGCCATCTTATTTAAATTGAAACATATTTTAAAATAAATTGTACAGTACATTTTGCTCTGGTAATCCACTGGAAATCCACCCCTCTGGTGGGATCAGGATAATCCAGTTTTTTGGGATCAAACTGATCCCAATCCTGTGTTGTCGGTTTGAACTACCCATTTTGAAGATTTGATCCAGATTAAAGCTTGGATTGGATTTCCTGATCTGATCGGATATCAAAGTGATCCTAATCCTGTTTTGAACTCCTGGGCCCAGGAGTTCAAAACTTTTAATCCCTATCTGATCAGATCAGATTTGGATTTTGGGGAGTTCAAAACCAAGGTGGAGACCGTGGAGAACAAGATGAAGTGGACCAACGTGCTCTACAAGGCCGAAGGACTCAAAATCAAAGATGACGAGGACATGCTGCGCTCCTCGTTAAAGAAGGAGTGGGGCGATCAAAGCGAGAATATCGTGGAGAAGCAGAAGCGGCAGGAAGAGACTGAAGAACATCCGACATCAGTGACATCTTTACCACAATATTGACTCTTTTCGACTGACAGACTTAAAGGACACTAAGGATTATTTTTGACTGAGCCTAGGTGGTGGTACCTTTTGGCCTAACTGACTTGTGACTCGTATAAAGAAAGAAGAAGGAAAACTACACATGCATGAACTGCAACTGTATGGACTTGATTACCTAGCTATAATTGTCACATGTCTCCCATTTTAATAATGTTAGTAATTATTATGTATACTAACCTAATAATTAGAGGCTGGTGTGTAGGAGCCATGAAACGTATATAGCAATGTGTTTGGTTTTGATATAGGATGTTTGTTTGGTCACTGTTGATTGGTTGGCTTGGGTCACATGGATATGGGCGGCACTCATAATCCTGTTCACTTGCGTGAGGTGTGTGAGTATTTTTTGTTGTCCATGTCTAAGTTGATAAGTTGATCATCCCAGTTTTCATTAAACCACATTATTTTTCAACAGAGTTTTTGATCTCAGCAAGTACTTTTTTGTAGCATGTCACACAATATCTAACAGGCCCGGCCTCAGCCTCTCAGCGACTTTGTTTGTTTCCTGCTGTCGCTATAGGTGGCTTCACAAAACGAAAAATAGTTTTACGGGCGTGGTTTGCAATCCGCCCAGCCAATCAGAAATAGGAACCTTTTTCTCCCACGAAAGTCCCTGCTTTCTAGCAGCACCTAAAAGGGGGTAAAAAGGTTCTCATTAAATAATTGTAGTTCCGGATTTTTTTTTATATATCGGAACTAAAGTGGGAAAAGTACTGCGCTGTGAAAGCGCCTATAGTCATTTAAAACATTTAGAAAAATTGCAGAGCTCAAATAATAGCAGGTCAATATTTTCAAACTGTACGGAATCTCTGACGAAATCATCAAAGCCACACAGGTCCTACACACCCACATCAAGACCGGGAAGCATCTCCAGATGGAGAGACGTTCATTTTACGAGATACACTTGCGTCATTGTTGTCACAGCTATGTTCTTTGTCTGTCATTGGATGCTAACAACAACACTTGACTACGGATCAAGCAACAACCAGGCACTCGTACCCCCGAATACCAGTGATGCACATCATGGATCTAGACTTTGATGTGTACCTAGCATCCCTTCTTCCAGCGTCAGAGACGCTGAAGCCCACCAAAATGATGTTGCTTTCTTGGGCTTTACTCCAACACATGGAAAACTGAGTAGAATCTCAAACGGCACAGACCTAACCATGTATGCAATAAATGGATCTTGGGAACAAACCTGGGATCAGTCATCATTGACTCATGGAAAGACTTGAAAGGCTAAAGCCTGGGTGTCTTGCAATTAATTGGAAAATGAAACTCGATCTGTTCAGGATTATCTTCATGTATGGCTCTGAGACCTGGACCCGCAAGGCTCAAATCCCTAATTGTCTGAATTGGTGCCAATGTTGTACCCTCCTTTGTAGGGTACAACATCTATCTTGGAAGAACCATCTAAAGATACAGCAGATGTATGGCAACATCCGGCTCAGCAGGCGCCTAATTCAATGGCAGTCAAGATTTGCTGGTCACTTTTTCTGCGCCAAATGTGAACGTATTTTAGATCTGATCCTTCAAGGGGTCTGAAGCTAACCTTCACAGATCTCCTGGATCCACTGGTATCAGTCTGGAAATCTTGTGCCAGCCATGAGCAACCAGAAATGCTGAATGACTGTAATGCGAGGTCTCTCGACTAAGGTTGCATGATGATGATGATGATGACGACGACGACGACGACGACGACGACGACGACGACGACGACGACGACGACGACGACGACGACGACGACGATGATGATGATGACAGAAGTCAGAAGAAGAACGTAATATCTCTCTATAATGGTGAATGGGAATGTGACGTTATCAACAGAAATTGATCCGTCTTTGGAAGATAACAGCAGCCGCAATCTATTGACTTCACCTGTTCAGCAAGCGGAGTAGACCTAACTAGGGATGCTCCGATTGATCGGTCACCGATCGAGATTGGCCGATACTCACTCTCTACCGATCGATCGGCGCTCTCTAAACATGCCAATCGCGAGAGCCGATCGCATGACGTAAAATACATGACACTTTTCTCTGTGTGCAGCAAAACAAGCTCGCCAAAATGGTATCACCAGTCTGGCTTTATTTTAAGGTGTCCGAAAAAGACAGTAAAATAGCGGTATGCAACGTGTGTGAAGCAGAAATCCTGCAGCCCCGTGGCCAGACCGGTGAGCCGAGCGAAACACACAAGAGTTAGACCTAACACACTTAGCTATTTGATCTACCTCTGGAACAAGCTAAACTAGTTATATATATATGTATTCTTCACTGTCAGGTCACTCATTACTGGATCAGTGAGCTGCATGAGATACTGACAGGCTGTCAGGAGAGGGAGAGAGGGGGAGAGAGGGGGGGGAGAGAGAGAGGGAGAGAGGAAAATAGAGTGCTTCCGCTCATTTCTCCCGAATAATGTACATAATTTGAATGTAATAATTAAGTTGATTGTTGTTTGTGGAAGCTCCAGTGAATGAGCCCCATTAACTGAGTTTTAAACATCACTTTAAATGGAAGATTTAAAGTGATGTTTAAATCTTCCATTTAGGCCCCGCCCACTCGATCGGATCGGCGATCGGTATCGGCCGATACTGATTCCGGCCCAAAAATTGGCGATCGGAGCATCCCTAGACCTAACCTTTTCACTTTAAACTTTTAAACATGTTCGGGAGGCACTGTGATGTCACTGTACCAGCCACTCATATGACCAACGAACAAAACAAACAAAGGACAATGGGATTATATATTATTCTTTTAAAACAACATAGAAACTAGGGAGACGTAGACACATCAGCAAGAGACGCTGAATGTGCTGAACTACAGGAACACAAAGCACTACACTGGGAATATAAGGTTGCATGATGATGATGAATATCATTTAAAACAGGAAATATTTCAGTACAAGTACACGTACACGCTTTTTTAGGACTCAGTTAGTATTACACTAGCTCTGTCCGGAGGATTCTAGTTCGGAAACACCGATATAGATTGACGGCTGCTGCTGTTGCTATGAATGCTATCCTCTAAAGATGGCCGCGACGCCCCAGAATGCACCACGATCCCATTGCCTATACACATGCTACAGAAGAAGCTAGCAGCCGCAGTGAATCCTCACTTGTGGAGCTCCCTCTGCAGGTCCTGCATGTAGTGGTGACACTGGGCGTAGTAGGTGGCCTGAGCCTCGGCAAAATCCTGTAAACAGCGCAGGTGGTTGAGCTGAGGAGAGAGAGAGAGGAGACAAATCAGTCCCCAGCAGAACACAACCAAACTAACAGCGGACATTATACTCGGCTCAACATATGTGCTTATGAAAACTCTTCTTAGAGGGGGGGGGCGATGATGATATGTCGGTTTAACTACCCAGAGGCGGGGGTCTCGTTCATTCCTATGAGAGCTGCTCATTGACGCATGACGACAAAATGGCCTGACATTTTCGAGAGCAAAACGTCACAAATTACCCATCATGCCTAGCTGTCAGAGCAGAAGTACCCGTATGTGCGCTCATAGAGCATGCCCAGTAGAGTTTCCCCTTATACCCCGCTCCCCGAGAGAGAAAATGAATCTGGATTTGGCTTTTAGCGCATTTTACAACTTTAAGGACCTAATGAATCTAATAAGGCTATAAAAGTGATAGTGTTGGGTAGTTTTATTTAGTAAAAATATATATCCGCTAATTTACAGACGTCTCTTTCCCAATGTTAGTGAATGGGAAAAAGTATTTTTTTTAAGCTTCCGTTAGGCAATATTATAAGGAATCATTCTGTACATTTTCATTGTTATGCGGATGATACCCAACTATATTTATCAATCAAGCCTGATGAAATTAATCATCTAAATAAAATTCAAGATTGCCTTAAGGACTTAAAAACGTGGATGACCTTAAACTTTTTGATGTTAAACACGACCAAAACTGAAGTTATTGTACTCGACCCAAAGAATCTACGAAACAAATTATCTAAGGATATACTAACTATGGATGGCATTAATTTGGCCTCCAGTGAGACTGTAAGGAATCTTGGTGTTATATTTGATCAGGATTTATCCTTTAACGCCCACATAAAATCAATTTCAAGGACCGCCTACTTCCATCTACGTAACATTGCAAAAATCAGGCATATCTTGCCTCAAAACGATGCAGAGAAACTAGTCCATGCATTTGTTACTTCAAGGCTGGATTATTGTAACTCTTTATTATCAGGGTGTACCAAGAAGTCAGTCAAGTCGCTTCAGTTGATTCAAAATGCTGCAGCTCGTGCAGAGTTAGGAAAAGGGACCACATTACTCCTGTTCTGGCTGCCTTACACTGGCTCCCTATAGAACACAGGATAGAATTTAAAATTCTTCTTCTCGCCTACAAAGCCCTTAATGGGCAGGCGCCATCTTACCTTAAAGAACTCATTATACCCTACTGTCCTATTAGGGCATTGCGTTCCAAGAATGCAGGGTTGTTGGTTGTTCCTAGAGTCTCTAAAAGTACAATGGGAGCCAGAGCCTTTTCTTATCAAGCTCCACATTTGTGGAATCAGCTTCCAGTTTGTGTTCGGGCGGCAGACACCCTATCCGTTTTTAAGAGTGCGCTTAAGACCTTCCTTTTTGATAAAGCTTATAGTTAGGGCTGATTAGATTCAGCCCCTAGTTTTGCTGATATAGGCTTAGTTTGTCGGGGGACATCTTACTTCTTCCTTCTCTCTGTCTATACCTGTGTACTCTCATGTTCCGATTAACCCAGCTTCGCCAAATGTCTTTCTTTTTGGTGTCTATATACGCCGGGATCCGGAGTCATGGATGATCCTGCGCTCCTCTGTCCTGGATCTTGAGCCCTGGATCTTGAGTCGTGGCTGTGGTCCTGGATCATAGGTCCTGGATGGATATCCTCGTGGATTCATCTTCCTATTATACACGCATGCATTTCCAAACATTTGGACTACCTATGTTGCAAATGTATTATCTTTTCAATTTACACACGGCATCTATTGCACGTCTGTCCGTCCTGGGAGAGGGATCCCTCCTCTGTTGCTCTCCCTGAGGTTTCTCCCATTTTTCCCTTTAAACTGTGGGTTTTCTCTGGAAGTTTTTCCTTGTACGATGTGAGGGTCTAAGGACAGAGGGTGTCGTATTGTCATACTGATATTTTGTACAAACTGTAAAGTCCACTGAGACAAATGTAACATTTGTGATATTGGGCTATATAAATAAACATTGATTGATTGATTGATATTTCTGGGCCGGGTGACATCACGGACTGATACGGAAATTGTAGTACCGCCGTTTGGCCAGTACGAATATTTTCTTCAGAGTCCGGCGCACTTCCCGGGGGCTTGCTGCTGTGTTCCCGTTAGTGTTTACTTCCTGTCTGTCTTCTTCTGCTGTTCCCTTTAGTGTTTACTTCCTGTCTGTCTTCTTCTACTTTTCCTGTTAGTGTTTACTTCCTGTTTGTCTTCTTCTGCTGTTCCTGTTAGGGTTTACTTCCTGTCTGTCTTCTTCTGCTGTTCCTGTTAGGGTTTACTTCCTGTCTGTCTTCTTCTGCTGTTCCCTTTAGTGTTTACTTCCTGTCTGTCTTCTTCTTCTGCTGCTGCTCCCTTTAGTGTTTAATTCCTGTCTGTCTTCTTCTGCTGTTCTTGTTAGTGTTTACTTCCTATCTGTCTTCTTCTGCTGCTGCTGTTCCTGTTAGTGTTTACTTCCTGTGTCTTCTTCTGTTGATTTCTTTGACTTCAAACGCTTTGTCTTTTAACTTTCTTCTTTCTCTCCCTTCATTCTCCTTAGCAACAGTAATTGTTTTACTTCAACCATTGAAATGTCCAAATTGACCAATCAGAATCGGCGATTCAACTTAGCCACGTAATAAATGAATTTAAAATATAGTGAAGTTCAGTGAAGTTCTACATTTCCAATGCTTAGCGTTATGAGCGGTTGATAATTGTAACCCTGATCACTATGAGCAGTTTCCACTGTGCATTCAAAGCTAAAGTGAACCCAGCACAACTTTAAAGCACATGTGCCTGTGTGAATGTGCCAAACACAAGCCTGTCCTGCATCAGACAGAACTTAATTTAAGCCAAATCCTGATGTTTAAAAAAAGTGTTTTATTGCGTTTTTTGTTTTGTTTCAATTCACAGAGGAAGACCCGGATTTAAAACTGCTCGCAGGGTTGATATATTGTGTAATATAATATTATATATTTTATTGAAAACTATATGATTTTTTAAGTTACATTTAGACCCAACATGGAGTAAATAATGTTTTACAGCATTTCTTAGAGTGCTGAGAATTCTTGTGGACAGTTAATTAATCATGTATCTATTTGTTGGGCTTAAGGGTTTAAATGTGTGGAATTGGCCTATAAATTACCTCCTATTCGTTAGGTTAGATTTTCTGTAAATTGTAGTTTCTAAGCAGTAGTGTTTTGGTGAAATATGAGGTTGTATAGCCTCAGTGACGTACATGGTTGGTCCATGAACAACAGGAGCTGATGAGGTAATGCCTAACACTCCAGCAGGCCAGAGACAATATCTCTCCAAACATCCTACCATTTTCTCTGCTCTTCTGTATTTGGCTCATATTTCTGATACAGTCATTCATGTTGCTCAACCCCATGACATCACTGCTGTGTTCAGGGTTGTCTTGTGACTGTGACTAAGAGTTTTTGTCAGTGGCCCAGAGGGGATCCCTTGCACTCACATGTGTGCTGCTGATTCCCTCCAGCAGCAGCCGGGTGACCTCAGCCTGCCGGTCAAACTCCGTCTGCGCCACACGCAGATCGTGCTCCGCCTGCACACAGTTGTGGAGGGGCAGGAAAGACACATTTAGAGGATTGTATAAACATATTTAACTGTATCTAGGAGCAGTCAGAAACAAACAATATCCACTAGTGAAGGTACTTACTTTGTCCACTTCCTCACTCAGCAGCTGAGAGAAGCAACATGAGGACAGAAAAAAAGCAGGCATCAACACTGTCTCATTAACACTCACACTTCAATGCAGGAAATCACCAATCTGAAACTACGAGGAGCTAGATGTGGGTTAGTAAGCTCAAACTACTTTCAGGATGTTCTTCAGCTAGCCTGTTACTATGACAATTTCAACCTCAAGTTTAATGGAGGTTAACTTGATCTGAACCACTGATACCAGGCCAGTTTGAAGCACCCATTTCAAATCAAACATTTAAAAACTGTTTATTTAATTTAATGTATTTTATTAACCTATTTATAATTCAACTTTTTATTTGACTAATTTGTATTCTGTGTGCAATAGTCAAGATGCAGGAGCCACCAGTATCAGACTTTACTAATCAATGTCCTGATCATGTTTATAGCAACTGATATGCCAGATTTTAAATGAGAGCAATCAACACAGGTCTCTCTTGAAAAAGAGATCTATGATCTCAAGGGACCAATCTGGTTAAATAAAGGTTTGAAATGAAATGAACACATGTCTGACTTCACTTAGAATGTAACCATCATACCAGCTTTTCTCTCATTTGGGAGATTAACTGTAATATTAACCACAATATTCTTAAAAGCATGATACATGTTAGCGTCAGCATTAACATAATACTGGACCTTCCAAACAACAGGAGCACTATAAAATACACTCGATGAATAATCTTTGAAACTCTCTGACACATCATTATTTCCATAGCTAGTGATGGCTTTCCTTCCAGGTGCATTCAGGGTCTCTCAAACAACTCTGTTCATATGCATTCGATGTATTGAATACAACATATTTATGTTTGTTTTAACCTATTTTAATCAAGTGAGATTTTTCTCATTACATATGACCGTCTATCCTCTTTACCGTTTTATACTTTGTGCTGTAATTTCTGTAGGAAAGTGCTTTACAGATAAATCATTATAATTACATTTTTAAACCAGGCCCTCAAGGTGCCTAACCAAGCATATCATGGTAATTTGGTAAAGTGTCTGTATGCCTTTTACAAAGAAGAATGTTTGTGATCTGAGAAACTGAGCTGGGCTGAAGTGTGTGTGTGTGTGTGTGTGTGTGTGTGTGTGTGTGTGTGTGTGTGTGTGTGTGTGTGTGTGTGTGTGTGTGTGTGTGTGTGTGTGTGTGTGTGTGTGTGTGTGTGTGTGTGCGTCAGCTGCAGCAGTTGACCAGCAGCCTGAACCCTTGTTGACCTTTACTCTACTTTCTGCAGCTGCTCGCTCACCAATGCCTGTTGTACAGCGCCCTCCTGTGTGTAACATTTCACATTTAAACTTTATTATAATATGTTTAGCTGTTTTTCTTCACTACTTTTTCCCTTCTCTTTTATTTGAGCTTTCAGTGTATTTTGTGTCATTTTTTGTGTACGTAAAGTGGGATGCTTGATCAAGATACTAAGGGATTGAACCGCTGTATGTAAAACAGCTCCACATTGCAGTGTTATACCCCATCTACATGGAGGACGCCATGTTAAGAGTTAGAAAGTGACTTTAAGACCACTAATGATGCAGTTTGTCCTCATCAGCCATTTTATTTCTGTGCATCTGTTACCTCCTGCTAGTGTTGTGACCCTTTTATGGTGAAATATTTGACATTGTATGTATTTGACAATGTCTATATGTATTTGTTAAATTAAGGATTTGTTTCTGGTAATGATATAGTAAAAGGTTTGCTTTTATCTAAATATGACATAGTTAATACACCTGAACAAAAAAAGTCTTTACTTCAATTTTGTTCCTGTTATTTACTATTTATTGGGACAGGATTTGACCAATAGGTAAAACATCCTAACCACAACACAGACTAAATGACAGGAGACTCACTACCACTATCACCAGGACCTAATCTGGTTTCTGCTCCCAGATGTTCCAACCTTGCTCTGCTCGGCTGCAGCGGGATCCGTCTCCAGATCCCAGCTCTCCCAGCCGCTGTGCAGCTGGGTCAGTTACAGAGCAACACAGAAACGCTATAAATGTGATTACTTAAGCTGACATCATCACAGAGAACACATCCATGTTTCACTGCACTTCTTACTTTCTCATTTTAAGTCTACATTTTCTCTCTCAAAGAAGAGCTTTTGGCACTGTTGCTCTGAGCTTAGCTCTTGCTGAAAGTCTAAGACGGCTTCAAACCTGTGTTTTTAGAAAACTAAATCACAGCATCTCCCAAACCCCACAGCTGTGTTCTCAGAGGCTCAGCTTTAAACTGCACCCCAGGTTTGGGCTGAACCGGGCTGCTGTGTTCTGTAGAATCACCAATAATGCCACTACAGATCCTTTTTACACCATTCGGATCACAAGTACTTCCATTTTTGTATTTGTTATACTTCTACTTCATTTCCTTCACCACTTTATTTAGGTCAGTAATTTGAAGATAAGGATTTTACAAAATATATGATACAATGTTATGGATTAAATGACAGCTCAACCTTAACCCACTAATTCCTTCAAATTCTACTTAAACTTTTAATCAAATGTTTCTGTGAAATGTTTGGTTTTTGTGACCAGTTAGACTCATTAAGGCCATTGTTTCCCTTTATTATGCTATACTCTGCTATGACAAGTGCAACTACGGAAGTGGATTGGAGTCTTTCAGAGCCTGTCACAGTTCCAGATCATACCAGTGTAAAGCTATAGTAATCATAGTCTTTCTATATATAAGTAAAAGTATAAACAGCATGCAACAATATCAAAACTTGCTAAACATGCTCATGTCTTTATTATATTTGTGTTGCAAAGGTCATGCCACAGCCTGACAAGCCTAACTTGTTTAAGAATTCAAAATGCAGCCCCCACTTCAATCCATAAAGCATTCCAAATATATATCATGTGCAGTGCTCATTAGTAGCCGTCATCCCATGCAGTTTAAATATACTGGGACAGCGTTACACTGGTGAGTACATGTGAAAGGATTTCAGGAGCCTTTTGCTTCATTTACATTCTTTTAGTGGTTTGAGTAAGAGTACTTTTTAGAAATTCTAACAATGTGTTTTTGAAAATGTATGAAACTAAAAAAAGTCTCCATACCTAACAAACTGACTTTCTACGAATAAATTCAAGATGTTTTTTAAGCTAGACTATATACATGTTCTGAAGCCTCAGGATGCTTCCGACACAACATTCAATAGCGTTAGCCAACGAGCTGCTGGGTCAGGTGAGGCTGCAGCAGCTCTGTGCCCTGATGTGAGCTACATCATCTGTCTTTTGGAGTATGTGGTGTTCTACGGCTCTGTGCCTGTTAGCATGTTAGCCTAGCTCCTGCTGGGGGACAGACCCTGCAGTTTGTGATGGACTCTTACCGCTGATGCACTGGCAGAAAGAACATAATTGCGAGGCCTGGTCTCCTGAAAATCAGGTGCAGCCTACAAACAAGAGCAGGGAGGAGGAGACACATGTTGGCACAGTCATGCATTACAATCATAAAGCAGAACAACAACAACAGTTAGCCAAAAGCAAAGCAGCATGAGCAGAACACTGAGAACACGCTGTGGGGTCTCATAGCAACGCGGTGCAAATTATTTATGACTGGATCATTTATTAATTGCTGTTAAAGTATAAATAGAATGCTTTAGTAAGTTTTGCTTTAACTTAACTTATTATCCTCACAGGATTATTTTATTAATTTGAAGCAGACTCAGTCCAGTCTGTAGCTGTGAGAGGGTCTCCATCCTTTACTGTACGGAGCAGAGGCCTGTTTCACAGACACATGTAGTTCAGCTGTCGCTGGACTCCACTCAGGTTTTCACAGAGCTGGTTCACTTTGAACCTGCATAGATCATCATGGTGAGCTACGCTGCTGAAAACATTCTAGGTGAGGGATACATAATGCAGTACCAGAATCTCAAGGTGTTTATTTAACTTTGGGCTTTTTCCCATTATTATGCTGACCTTTTCTTCTTCTATGGATATTTTTTGACTGCTGAATATGTCAAACAATGCTTACCCTATTGAGAGAGGTCTATCACAATTATTTTTGACATTTCCTTATAATTCTAAATCGTCTTATTTGTTTGATTATGTATACAGTTTTAGGTGGCTGAATATTATTATGCTTCATGACACCAGCGCTAATGTTAGCTCAGTGCAGCCTGTGTGTTCTGGCTACAGACACAGCATCGTGTGGTCGGTATTAAGAGGCTTTTCTTTTTGAGTTACATGCAACAATGCAGCCATCAGAACATCTGAGAAGCTTTTATTTCCTTTTAAAGATGCCGTTTTCTCAGCACAGACATGCTATCTGAAGAAGTGCAACACAATGACTGCAGAGGTTATCGTTGAGAAAGCGAGACTTTATGATCTGACATGAAAATGCAAGTTTTTTGCTTCCTGCTATTCTGCCTGCCATGTGTGATATAGACTGCAACTCTCTTCTTTGGGCTTTTTCAGTCATTTAATGTACAGATAGCTAGCACAAGATGCAGCACATTAACAGTGGGCATTAATAAAAGTAAAACAAATGCCAAAGTTTCCTCACTGCAATCACCTTCTCTCAGCTATAGCATCAGCAGACACAACAGAACCACCGTTTCATCTTACCGCTGCTTTGGCTTCTGCCTGCTTGGCTTTTTTCAGGCGTGCTTTGCAGATGTCGAGATCCAGTCGCCGATTTTCCATTAGTCGCCTCTCTTTCTAAAAAGGAGACAGGAAGCATCCAATCAGAAACCAGGGACCTGCTACAGAAAACAGTCGTTTGAAAAACGAGGTTTCTATTCAGCTAACGGCACAGTGAAGCTCTCTACAAAAATAAGCTCCAAATCTGTTTTATTGAACAAGTCAAAGTGATGTCCATGGCAGCATACCATCATATACTCCTGCTGTTTCTGTTGGGGTTTATACCAACACAATGTCTAACAGTATAGTATAGAGGAAGTCTTACTGATATAGTCCTCCAGTCTCCTTCCAGGAAGTTGCGTAGAGGAGTGAGGAAGGTGGCAGCTGAGGTTTGGAGGAGCTCACGCTCAGCCCCGCCGAGTCTCTTCTGGTACTCCCCCACTGTGATTAGGGTGCTGCCTGCACATACACACATGCACACACCTATTACACATTATGTCAAATCAGACCAACAGATGTTTTGGTTGCCCCGACCCCCCAGGGGGCGCCAGGGGGGTCACGCAAAGTTTAAGGGAAACAGAATTTTTTATTTTAAAAAAAAAAAAAAAAAAGTTTTCTTTTTTTAGATGTTATTAATAACTGTATATCAATCAATCTATGTGTCCTTTGATGCCAATCTTTTAATATTTTTTGTTTTTGAATCACACAGACACCCTTCAAGCCAATCAAAATCGAGCTGCCGCTACTGAGAGTAAAAATCTGCTCAGCTTTTGGAGCAAGTGAGAGCTAGTGAATGTTTCGCTCTGCAGCTGGATGAGAGCACGGATGTAGCAAATGTCGCAGAATTGCTTGCATACATCAGATTTATTTAAAAAGACAACTTTGTTGAGGAAATATTATTTTGCAAAGCACTGGAAGGTGGGACCACATGAAGAGACATTTTCCAAGTTTTAGATGAGTACATCATCTCAAATGGACTTGACTGGTCTCGTTGTGTGGGTGTGTGTTCAGATGGGGCAGTGGGGCTGTGACAGGCAAAGAAAGCGGAGTGACAGCTTTGATCAGGCAGAAGGCCCCAAATGTAGTGGCAACACACTGCATGCTCCATCGCGAGGCACTTGTACACATCATTTTTTTTAAAACAGGGGGGTCCCCGCCAGAGGATAATGCTATATGGGGGTCCTTGGGATGGCAAAGTTTGGGAACCCATGGCCTAGAGCAGGCATCCTCAAACTACGGACTCCGGTCCGGATCCGGACCGAACCAGCACTGTCTCCGGACTCTGAGCAAATTATACTTTTCATATGTATGATCTCTCTGTATTATATGTGAGACAAATCGCCACAAACGCATTCGCAACGAGTCAAAATTATCCGCTATGTCCACTGCAAACAGCGCTCTGCATGTCTGACTGTTCCACTGTGTTCCACCTGTGTGTGTCAACGCTTTGGTCCAATCACATTCAGCATCCAGTCAGCGTTTTTTTCCCCCAAACAATCTGCGAATCAGAGGCACAGTAGGGCGGGTCTTCGCGGAATGCGGGTGGGAAAAATGTGTGTGTCTCTTTCAACCTGTCTAAGTCAGAGCGAGAATTAAAACAAAAACAAAAAAAATTCAGAGCGAGAGTTAACAGCTAATCTAGTTCCATCTGTACTGTAGCTAGTAGCCTAGTTTCACCTACCGGGGTGGCAACTGACACCCTAAAAATAGGCCTTGCCACCCCAGTTGGCAGCTTTGTTTTGAAAGAAAAGTTGTGGCTCATCGGACATTTATGAGAGAAAGTCTCTAATGTCCGAGTGCAAGTGAATGCAGCACAAGATGCACGTCATGTAACCCCTCCCCCGGTCCTGGCGCGAGCGTGGACATACGATTTGGCGGCGATTTCATTTTTAACTGGACGGCGCAAAACGAGAAGCATTCGGACCCAAGCACTGAAGGAATGAGGTATTTGCGGTCTACAATGACAGAGAAGAGACTGTCAGTGTGGCTGCACTCAGCATTGAATCAAAACGCACTAAAGCTGTTGATCTTAATACGTTTGTGAGGCGTTTTGCTGAACAAGATGGTAATCGCCGCATTCAGCTGTAATAGACATGTCAACTTGATGCTCTGCTCACGGATGAGCATACACAACTATTAAGATGATGACCTTACGTGTGTAAATATATTTTTTTTCTTTGAGGGGGTCTGCCCCCAAAAAACAGTTTTAAGTCCTGAGAAAGTCAAATAAGACGGTGTTTAAAACTACACTGCCCAGCCAAAAGAAAGTAACCACTTTGATTGAACTAGGCCAGTAGGTAAGGACTTTCCACTGGATAATAACTGCAGTATAAAAGAAGAATGCATGACTGAAGTGATGGAGACCATGTTGAAGGCAAACAAAAAGAGGAAATAACAGGTCAAATCAAGCAAATCCCCCTCTCAGATTCCACAGCAACCAGAAGAACATAAATACTGGCTGGTGATTTGATTAATCAGCTTTGTGATGGAATAAAAAATGCACAGTGCATTTCCTTAGCTGTGGGTGAGTCCACTGACACCACTGACAATGCTCAGTTGCTGGTGTTTGTGAGTTTTTATGATGAGGCAAAGGGGGAGTTTGTTGAAGATGTGTTGGGCCTGACGAACCTCAGTGGACGCACAAGGGGGGCAAGACATTTATAAAGCAATAATGGGAATGCTGAATGAAAGAGGGTGCAGCTGCCTTTATTCATAACTGTGCAGCTCTTACACTGCAACTCTGAGAGATCAAGCACAGACACAATAACAATGAAAACTGCTGCATACAGATTATTTTTGTTTTTGCAACCTCGTGTTAAGAATCTTGTTGCAATTGTTTAAAAGTTTGAATGACCGTAATAAACGGACCTTTGTCTTATTGAAACATTTATTTTGGACCTTTAAGATTTGTATTTGAGTACCCCTGGCCTAGAGTAACTAAAAGAGCTGGATAACAGTAAAGATCCGGCAGTGGCTCAGTCAGTAGGGGCTTGGACTGTGAGCCGTAGAGTTGCCGGTTCAAGTCCCCGACGAGACCTAAATATGGAGTGTGGACTGCTACTTGGAGAGGTCCCAGTTCACCTCCTGCCCTGCTGTGGTGCTCTTGAGCAAGGCACTGGACAACCCCCCACCCGCCTCACTGTGCAATATCTGCCCACTGCTCCTACTAGACTCCTGGTGCTAGGATGGGTTGAAAGCAGAGAACAAATGTCACTGTGTGCTAGGGCTGTGCAATTAATCGTATTTTAATCGCGATTACGATTATGGCTTGCGACGATTATGAAAACAGCATAATTGACAAAATACGATTATTTTGCTGGGTGCGCTTTCGCCCCTCCCTAAAAGCCCACTCAGCCACGTGGGAGTGACATGTGTTGTGAGTGTTCAGCGCGAGCGAAGATGTCAAAACAAGAGCAGCAACTCGTTAAAAAGAAGGGTCAAACTATTTCCACTATTTGCAAGTACTTTGCCATTACATTTCACATCGCTAAAGATATGTGCCCAGTTAGCACTGTTAGCAACCAGGGCTTTAAGCAACTTGTCAACACGTTGGACAAGCGTTACGCGATGCCGTCTCGGTATTATTTCAGCAGGTCTGCGCTGCCTGCGCTATGTGACAAATGCCGTGGGGAAGTTGAGAGAGATCTGGCTTCAGCTGACTACTTTGCTACCACAACAGACCTATGGTCTAGCCCAGGGGTGCCCAACCAGTCGATCGCGAGATGTGTCTAAAAATAGAACAACAATATTCTGTTTTATCGTTAATGTCCTGTAACATAATCTTCCTGTGCCAGAATAATGCACTTGAACGCATCAAAGCTTTGTGATTGGCCGGCGTCACCCCATGTGTCGGGGCGTGGCTGAGGGTCTTCAGTACAGGTGGCAATATCGTCACCTGCCTGCGCTCATCTCTGAAACCAGACCATGTAAACAGGCTGGTGTTTCTAGCGAACAATCTTTAACATGATGACATGAGCAGCCCTACCAGCATTTGCCATGGTGGCCAAAACATTTTTATTTGGTCTTAAATTGAAGTTCAACATTTATTTCCTGTTACTTCTGGACCATGACGGTGGGCCAGCCTTCAACTTTTAACTGAGTGGAATATGTTGAATATGTTTTACCAAAATGTTGGCTATTTGTTAAGGAGTTTTCAGTAGGTTGTGACAGTGCACTGCAACATGTTTGATTTCATTTATTTTGGTCTAATTTATTTGTATTTATCATATTAATAATATATGTTTAGTATGGTTTTGGAAGTGCGCTCCAACATATTTGTTGATCTTGTTTATTGGTAAAATATTATTTGTTTTAAAGTTCAATAAATGGTCAATGAATAATCGTCAAAATAATCGTGATATCAATTATTGACCCAAATAATCGTGATTATGATTTTTGCCATAATCGCACAGCCCTAGTGTGTGCTGTTTGCTCGGCATGTGTGACCCTCCAATTTTATCTATCTTCTAATGTAACCAAGCTGCTGCTGGCCACGCCCCTTTGGAGCATCCACATGCAAGCAGTGAGCTCTGTGAAGAGAAGACTGTCTACCAGCAGAAACTTAGCTAAACGCTGCTGTGATTAAACACCATATTATGTTCCAAACCACATCAAGCATTCTTTCTGAAACAGTATGGAGCTCAAAAGCTTTCTCTCTCTCACAAGTTTACCACAAGGCAGTGGCGAGCCGTGACTTTTATACCTAGGCCCTCTGACCCCCTCCCCTTACCTCGAAAAATAGTTATTACGTCACAGCGTATACTTCAGCGGAATATCAAAACAACGGCCCGGGGTGCAAAACGCATCAATGACAGGCTGTGGTGTCATTGACAGCGACCCTCTACCACATAAAACAACACCTGTAAATAACCCAATTTGTGTTCTTTGAAATATTGGATATCGCATTGTGTTTGTTACTTTCGTTGCAGTTGTATATATGTCTTAAGTGTAATTTGGCTTGGCTTCCTATTTTGTATGGACATGCTTTTATTTTGAAGGCGAGTTTACGCTGTTGACAGGAAGTTGTTGTTGCTATGGAATAGTGCTGTAGCGACGCGTCGGTCGACTTCAAAATATCGTCGACGACATATTTCCGCGTCGACGCGTCGCTACACACACGTGGGTCACCCAAAGCAACAAGCAGTTCGCAATCGCACTTCAAACACAATGGAGACTGAAACGGCTACCACCTCCTCCTCACAGGATTGCGCACGAAGCCCCCAAACGAAAACATCTCGCCCTAGGTCTTCAAAAGCATGGGAATATTTTAAAGTTAGTCCAAAATGCAAAGATATTTATATATTTATATCTCACTGAGACTGCTGCATAGCCTAGCAGAAGCAGCAGCTAGCTGTGGTGGCTACCATTAGCAGCTAGCATTTGCTCTCCGATTTTTACATAAAATGGAATTATGGATTATAAATTCAATCATTCTTTTATACATAGACGTTAAAAACCTATGGATTAACCGATTCAGCCGCGTTTTTTCTCATTTTATTGCCATTGAACACGTCTTTTGATCAGATTACGGTGGTGAGACGATCTCCCGAGAAGCTCTGTGAAGGTACGTGTTGTGATGACTGTATTTGCTTCCCCTGTCGCGAGTCCGGATCACTCAGTGATGATACTATATACCTACATAATCTGTGGAGTCTCAGCTTTAATCGAATATATTGTATGTGCAGCTACGATAAGTAATAAGGGTACTTTTATCTTGAGTTCTGTGCCAATGTCCGTTAGCATTTTTCGCTCAGGGGTCATTTAGATGCTTCTTATGAGACTTGTGTTTTGTTTTGGTAAACATGGTTTGTATCGTCAATTAACTGAGATTATTTCCGTTAATCTGGTATAACACATTAATAGGTTCTTAAATATTAAGATCCCCTGAGACACAGTATCATGAAAAAAAATTGTTTACATTACGTTTTTTTTACATTACGTTTTTTATGAATTGAGCAACAGAAAAATAATCGTTAGATTAGTCGACTAATCGATCAAATAATCGCCCGATTAATCGTTTTCAAAATAATCGTTTCCCCCCAGCACTACTATGGAAACAATAAAAGCTTCACAGCGGGCGGAACTTGTCATAAAGTCCGCGATAATAAAACCCACCCATTTAGATGGAAGATATGATTGGTCAATTGTACTGTCATTTGACATTACTCTCTTGTTCAGTTACTATAGCGGGCCCTCTGTGAATTTACAGCAGGACCACCAATCAGCTACCCTCTTCACAGTAACTCGCAGAGAGGAGCTTCTTTCATTTAACCCTTCACATTCAAACAGAAACTGAATAGGCAGATTCGAAGAATTTATTTATTTGGAAATGTTATTTACCGATTGGACGATGCAGCGCATGCACTGATCTGATGCTTCTTAACATGAGAGCAGTTTAACAGCGGAGTGAAAATAACAGATTAAACTCACAGTTTATACAGTGTTTTGTTTCAATTCATGTATCATCTAGTTAAAAATATGCGATATATCTGAACCACAAAGTGGACAAAAATCATTGTATTAATTTATTGGAAAAAAATGTCCTGATCTCCAATTCATTTTTATTATGAACACAATAACAGGAACAGCTTTTTTCGTTTTACATTTGTATTTATATTCATTTTCATTCAGTCACAGCTGAGACATGAATTACGTGATTTGGCTCAGTTTAACAGCCAACACAAGTGTAGTGCCGTTACTTCATGTTATTTTTATGCCTACAACAATAGTGCAACCTCTGTTCACGTTTATTTAACCCACAATATTTCTGTTATGCTTTCTCTTCTCTCAATTATTTTCTTTCTATTGCGCACTCAAATAAATATTAAACTAGTGTTTGTTTATACATTTTAAGAATGGCTTTTATCTGTTTTTGAAAATGAGTTCTTATTTTATTTTTATTTATTTGGGTCTACAACAGCATGTGGGGAGGGGGGGGATTGTTTGTGTGTGACAGACGATCAGCTGTGCGGCGTCATCACAAACGGACGTCGCTTCACGTTTCCTTGCGTCTCTCCATGCATCCCTGGTGGGAGGGACTAACGGCCCCTACACACGGCGGCGTGCGTTGCCGCTTCAACGCTTCTGCCCATTCACTTTGAATGGGGTGACGTCACGATTCGCCGAACTGCATTGTGGGAGCAAAGCGTAGCTTCTCTCGCGGTGCTCGCTGCAAAGGTAGAGCAATGTTCTACTTTTGCCGCCTCGACGGAGGCGTCAGCCAATCAAATCCCGCGTATGCAAATCTGACAGCACAAGCGCTAGCCAATCAAACCGCGTGTATGTTGGGAGAGTCAGACCGCAGTTATTTCCCATATCAAAAAATGGAGGAGGAAATTATCGTGGTGTTAGGGAATCACCCGGTACTATATGACCAGTCCCTCTTTACATACAGGGATACAAACCGGAGGAGCCAGGCATGGGGGGAGGTGGCAGAGACAGTGGGTGAAACTGGTAGGTTTTCGCCTGTTTGGGGAGTTTATAGCCAGTGTACTTCGTTTGAATGGACAGCTAGCAAGCATAGACAGTATATTTAGCCAGCATGGATGTAGCGTGAATGCTTTGCTTTGTATGTCCGGGGCGGGATATTCATGTGATTGGTTGTTGGCCGCGTTGTTCGTAAAAAATCCCCAAACTTCAGACACGCCCACCGCCAAGCGGTAACGCACGCTGCCGTGTGTAGGGGCAGTAAGACGCAAGTGAGGGATGCAGGGATGGAAGTTAAGAGAAGTGAGACGCAGCTCATATTACTTCCAAAACGCGTCGCGCATTGTTTCTGACACAGCGATATTTCTGATAGGGAACGATAGGTTGGGACGTGGGCGGGAGTTCAGAGTAAAGCCAGCCCACATTTGAGTAATGTCGTCATGACTGCAGCAAATCTGGATCAGCTCCGTTGTACCTCCATTTTTAGAGATGTGGGTAAGGAGGGTTGTATTTTCTGACACTTTGAGAGACTCCTTACACAACGGGGACACATATTTATGTATAAAAGACATAATTTCATAATAGGTGACCTTTAACAACTATCAAGTACTTCATGAACACAAAGCACACATACGGGCAGCAACATGAGTTTGAGTGGCAGCACACTGACCGTACGGGGTCCCGGGGCCAAACTCGTTGGCGGCCTCCAGCATGTACTGGCCCAGCAGCTCGGGGTTGGTGGTTCTGGAGGGGAGCTTCTTATCCAGCTTATCATAGATGAACTCCTCTATCCGAGCACCTGGAGGAAAGGGTACAGAGATCATTGTGAGACTGAACACATAAGGTGAAACATTCAGATTCAGAATAGAGCGAAGTTGCATGACAAAGTGCAGAATGGTTTGTTCTTCCAATGGCTTGGGTCCATTAAAATATCAGTTATATTAAAAACATTTCTATTTACTATACATTAAAATGAGGTGCTGGTGTTGGAGGCAGAGTGTCCTAAGAACGGTCCTTGAGGCTTAAAAAGAGGGCTTAATATTGTGCTGTGGACATTATGCAACATGACAGTATGCTGAATTCAGCATTCCCATGAATGTGTCCACGTCCAGCCTTTATTTTATGCTAGCCTTTATAAGATATTAATATTAGTGATACTAGCACAGCTTATTTTTAGAATGTAACCATGAAGGCAGTGTTGGATGCAGCCAATCAGAAAGCGTTTACAGGTGTCTTCCTGCTCATCAGTAATTCAACAACTTCATTTCTCTCACATATACATCTACACTTCACCCGTCCCGTTACCAATCAATGAAAAAGGTTCTTATTTATGGGTTAACTATCATTTTCGTGTTAACATGTGAAACAGTATGTTTTGTAAATGAAGGCTGGGCGCCACGCTGCCGGTCTATATGCCACAGTGAGCTGCACTCATTAAGGAAGGGAGGCTCAGTGTGGTGAGTTCAGTGTCCTCACACAGCAGACTTACCTGTGTGGTCCACTGAAGCATGGAGGTGAAAAAACACAAAGGTCAAAGTTAGAAATTACAGAGAGCCATGCTACTACAGTCTGTCACAGTTTAATGTAGCACCATGACTATGGTGTTATTTGTGTGCC